TTTTTCAACGAGGTCAGGCCCGTCCACAAGCTTAATGTTGGCCTCATTCACTTATCTGAAGGTGACAGTTTCTTCCAGAGCATAGAAAAGTGGAGACATGTACTCGCATGCAGTTATTTGATCCAATGATCTTGGAATCAGCAGTTGTTTAGAAAAAGAGACCTTTTCAACTTGTGCAAGTCACTCATTCTTCTTAGATCTCCTGATCGTGGTCAATCCACGTGCTGTCAAACAAACCCCTTTGATGCTTGCTGGCAAAGAGAAACTGCGAATCAATCATGTTCAGTAAAAACAGGTTGAGAGGCCTTGGTATTGGTAAAATGTTTGAACCTTCAGCACAAGTGCTAAAAAGATTTAAGTGTAGGCCTGTGTACTTTTGACCGTGTGTGGATCAGAGAAAACAAATCCAAACTCAAGCAGTTGTTGTCATTAAAGGTGTACAGTGTGCAATTATTCCTCCATTATTCTTAAACATGGCGCCGTTATATATAGAGGCACTTTGTTATTGTAGCTTTTTAAATGATTTGCTGATTCGATATCTCTCGTTACTCCTTACAGTGACCGACATCATGTCTCCAGCTCCATCCCAGTGCCCACCAAGTCTCAGCTCGGTGTGTCTGCAGCTTCCGAGCTGGCCTATCCCAGCCACACCAGCTCCCCAGACCGAGGCCTGAGGAACAGAGCGAGTTCAGAGGCTGAAGCAGAGCTTAAATACAAGCCAGCGACCCCTCCACCCAGCTACAATACAGCCATCAGTGAGGGAAAGTCCCAGGTTGGCCTGGCACCGCCTTCGCCGTCACCATCACCCACACACTTGTCATCCTCCCTTGATCCAAGCAAGGCCCCACTTGACCTGTCCACGAATACGGAAACCATTGTGGAGGAAGAGCAGGAGGAAGAGAAGCAGGAGGCTGGAGGCGCAGCGGTGGAGGAAGGACGTAAAACTGCTGAAGGAGAGAGCGAACGACATAAAGAGAACAAGAGCGATGAGATGGAGGAGAACCCGTCCAGCAGCTCAATGATACCAAACTCTTCTGCGGTGCAAGACACTGATGAAGAAGCGATGCCCGCCGCCCAGCACCCAGGTGCCATGAATGGCTCCTTAGTATTAGAACAGGCGCCCATCAGCCTGATCCCAGAGCTGCGCTGCTCGGTGGAACAAGCGGAGGAGATCATGGGCACAGAGGCCACTGGTTTAGGTCTGGGATTAGCAGATGAAGCCCGGCTGGATGACTACCGTTGCATCCCCGTAGACCACGCCGTAGCTGTGGAGTGTGACGAACAAGTGCTGGGAGAGCTGGACATGGCCGGCTTCGAGGAGTTTTCCAGGCGAATCTATGCACTGAATGAGAACATGTCCAGTTTCCGTCGGCCACGCAAGAACTCTGAGAAGTAAGGCTCGAGGAGAGACGAAGGCAGGAAACTTGCACAGATGCTTTTGGGCATGCGAGGCTTGGAGGACGTGTGTGGCGCTCGCTCCTTAACCATAGCATAAAAACATCGTAGGAGCTCTTCTGGAAAAACAACCAATTTGCACTTATTGTAAACATTTCCATAATAAACTTTAAATAAGAAGCAGTTGAAAGTGTAAGTACTGGGACAACGAGCAGGGCTCTGTTCATGCAAACTTTAATATATTTTACAAACAGATTCAAAACAGTTTTAAGACCTTTTAGATCCACAGAAGGATTTAGCCTCAGTTGAAGTAACCCCCCCCCCTCTGTTGTTCCAGTAAACGGGACCATTACTTGCCTCCTTTTAGATCCACAGCCAGAGTGCAGCTCCCTCCTGATCACTCTGCTAGTCTTTTGAATTAGTGCGTTTTTTCTTTTCGAGAGTCGGATGTCCCAGTAATTCCACCTTCGACTGCACGAGCAAACGTTAAAATGCTTCCCGAGCCTTCGTTCAGGGTGTATGACAGTGGGCACTTGCAGGAGGGAGTACTTGGAAGTAAGTGTGTGAGCGTGCGCACACCTCACATCAGCAATCACAGTTGGAGTAATCCCACCAATGACCCCAACGACGCGGCAGTATTGTGCTACCACAGAGCGAGGTGGGAGCTGCAACCCGTAGCCCCGTCAGAGACTTGTTAACTGTGACGCGCTGCATCTCCTCGTCATTCTCCTCACGGGCTC